ACACATTACATCAGCACCATTACATCAACACACACCATTACATCAACACACACCATTACATCACACCATTACATCAATCACACATCATTACATCAACACAATTACATCAGCACCATTACATCAACACACACCATTACATCAACACACACCATTACATCAACACACATCATTACATCAACACACATCATTACATCAACACACCATTACATCAACACACACCATTACATCAACACACATCATTACATCAACACACACCATTACATCAACACATCACACATTACATCAACACACATCATTACATCAACACACACCATTACATCAACACTACACACATTACATCAACACACATCATTACATCAACACACATCATTACATCAACACACACCATTACATCAACACACACCATTACATCAACACACACCATTACATCAACACACAACCATTACATCAACACACACATTACATCAACACACACCATTACATCAACACACACCATTACATCAACACACACCATTAACATCAACACACAACCATTACATCAACACACCATTACATCAAACAATAAACACACACCATTACATCAACACACAATTACATCAAACACCAACCAACATTACTACAAACATACTACAACCATTACATCAACACACACCATTACATCAACACACACCATTACATCAACACACACCATTACATCAACACAACACCATTACATCACAACACAACACCATTACATCAACACACACACACCATTACATCAACACACATAAACATTACATCAACACACACCATTACATCAACACACACCATTACATCAACACACACCATTACATCAACACACACCATTACATCAACACACACCATTACATCAACACACACCATTACATCAACACACACCATTACATCAACACACACCATTACATCAACACACCCATTACATCAACACACACCATTACATCAACACACACCATTACATCAACACACATCATTACATCAACACACACCATTACATCAACACACACCATTACATCAACACACACCATTACATCAACACACACCATTACATCAACACACCATTACATCAACACACACCATTACATCAACACACACCATTACATCAACACACACCATTACATCAACAACACCATTACATCAACACACACCATTACATCAACACACACCATTACATCAACACACACCATTACATCAACACACACCATTACATCAACACCATTAAACACCCATTACATCCAACACACCACCATTACATCAAAAACAAAAACACACACCATTACATCAACAACACACCATTACATCAACACACACCATTACATCAACACACATACACACACATACATCAACACACACCATTACATCAACAACACACCATTACATCAACACACACCATTACATCAACACACACCATTACATCAACACACACCATTACATCAACACACACCATTACATCAACACACACCATTACATCAACACCACCATTACATCAACCACCCTTACATCACACAACCATTACATCAACACACACCATTACATCAACACACACATTACATCAACACACCATTACATCAACACACACCATTACATCAACACACACCATTACATCAACACACACCATTACATCAACACACACCATTACATCACACACCATTACATCAACAACACCATTACACAACACACACCATACATCAACACACACCATTACATCAACACACACCATACATCAACACACACCATTACATCAACACACACCATTACATCAACACACACCATTACATCAACACACACCATTACATCAACACACACCATTACATCAACACACACCATTACATCAACACACACCATTACATCAACACACACCATTACATCAACACACACCATAACAACACACCATACATCAACACCACCATTACATCAACACACACCATTACATCAACACACACCATTACATCAACACACACCATTACATCAACACACACCATTACATCAACACACACCATTACATCAACACACACCATTACATCAACACACACCATTACATCAACACACACCATTACATCAACACACACCATTACATCAACACACCATTACATCAACACACACCATTACCAAACAACACACACAACATTACATCAACACACACCATTACATCAACACATACACACACCATTACATCAACACACACCATTACATCAACACACACCATTACATCACACACACAACACAACACACCATACATCAACAATCACACCATACATCAACACACACCATTACATCAACACACACCATTACATCAACACACACCATACATCAACACACACCATTACATCAACACACACCATTACATCAACACACACCATTACATCAACACACACCATTACATCAACACACACCATTACATCAACACACACCATCCATACATCAACACACACCATTACATCAACACACACCATTACATCAACACACACCATTACATCAACACACACCATTACAATCAACACACACCATTACATCAACACACACCATTACATCAACACACACCATTACATCAACACACACCATTACATCAACACACCATTATCACCACCATTACATCAACACACACCATTACATCAACACACACCAATAACATCAACACACACCATTACATCAACACACACCATTACATCAACACACCACCATTACATCAACACACACCATTACATCAACACACACCATTACATCAACACACACCATTACATCAACACACACCATTACATCAACACACACCATTACATCAACACACACCATTACATCAACACACACCATTACATCAACACACACCATTACATCAACACACACCATTACATCAACACACACCATTACATCAACACACACCATTACATCAACACACACCATTACATCAACACACACCATAACATCAACACACACCATTACATCAACACACACCATTACATCAACACACACCATTACATCAACACACACCATAAACATCAACACACACCATTACATCAACACACACCATTACATCAACACACACCATTACATCAACACACACCATTACATCAACACACACCATTACATCAACACACACATACAAAACACAGAACACTCGTACCCATGTATAGGACCAAAAAAAATTATTTCCAATGCTATACTTTAAATCATAATAAGTGCTAAAAGTTCTTGTCTGAGAGAGGGTCACATTTTGTGCTTGAGAGAGAGAGAGAGAGAGAGAGAGAGAGAGAGAGAGAGAGAGAGAGAGAGAGAGAGAGAGAGAGAGAGAGAGAGAGAGAGAGAGAGAGAGAGATAGGGAAGAAGGGGAGGGAGGGAGAAAGTAGTGGATTTCAGTGTGCAGTGGTTTATGGAGGAGCAGGCTCATACCTGCCTCCCCTCTCTATTGTCAAGTGCCACACCTGTCATACATCACACTGGTAGTGCCACACCTGTTAACCACCCCACCCTGGTAGGGCGACACTCCCACACCCGTCAAGGTTAAAACACTGTCACAGAGGCAGGAATACGGTGGTAGTAGCAGCAGTAGCAGCAGTACCTCTGAGTGAGCAACACCTCAGGTCGGCTCTCAGTAGACTGTCGACCGCTGGAATGTTCACTGGGTGCTGCTGCTGTTACTGCTACAGCGACTGGCACTGCCGCTGTTTCAGCTATCGCAATTACTGCCACTACTGACGTTGCTTCTGCGGGCAACAGCTGTGGTATGATGTGAGCAGCTGGTGCCCTGATGGGGTACTCCCAGGTGGCTGGCTAGGCACGTGTACAAGCAGCTGGTGGGGTACTCCCAGGTGGCTGGCTAGGCACTTGTACAAGCAGTTGGTGCCCTGGTGGGGTACTCCCAGGTGGCTGGCTAGGCACGTGTACAAGCAGCTGGTGCTCTGGTGGGGTACTCCCAGGTGGCTGGCTAGGCACGTGTACAAGCAGCTGGTGCCCTGGTGGGGTACTCCCAGGTGGCTGGCTAGGCACGTGTACAAGCAGCTGGTGCCCTGGTGGGGTACTCCCAGGTGGCTGGCTAGGCACGTGTACAAGCAGCTGGTGCCCTGGTGGGGTACTCCCAGGTGGCTGGCTAGGCACGTGTACACACCGCCCTCATAACTCATGCGTGTGATGCTGTGGTAATATGCGTGTAAAACCCGCATAGATGGACCGCCGCTACCGCCTACCAGTGACCCCTTCCCCCTTCTGCTGGCACTGGCACTCATTATTGGGCAGTGAAAGGCACTGGGGCACAGACAGTAGTATAGGCACTGTAGATACACTGAAGCAACCGTGTTTACGTTAACCCAGAATCATTTTCAGCTACACTGAGGCCAACATGTGCCCGCTACACTGAGGCCAAAATGTGCACGCTACACTGAGGTCAACATGTGCTCGCACCCAGGAGCTTGTCCAGAAGGTGAGAATCAGTGGAAACAGAAGCAGACCGGTCACCCCCTGGACCCTCCTGCTGGTGGCAACAGCAGCAGCAGCAGCAGCAAGAACACAAGTGCTACCCGCCAAGAATGTCGTTTCTTGAGAATGCAGGTGAGTGTGCACTGATTACTGCCGGGTGTACAGGCGACCAGCAGCAGCAGGCGGCGGAGATAGGCTTCCAGGAGGTGGGTACCCACCTCCTCCAACAAGCAGTGAATGAGTCGCGGGAGTGCAGATGGGCGGCGAGGGGTGGGCAGAGGCCAATGAATGGGCGGGCCCACACGTGGTTAAATGTGTGGGTGGTTAGGGCCTACTGGTATGGCGGAGGGCGTGGTGTTAGAAGCCCACTATTAAGGCGTGGGCGTGGAGTTAGGACCCCATAGTAAGAGGTTGTGGGCGTGGTGTTACGGCCCACTAGTAAGGTGAGAGGTGGTGGTGTTAGACCACACTAGTAAGACACGGGGTGGTGGGCGCGGTGTTAGGAGCCCAGTAGTAAGGTGAAAGGTGGTGGGCGTGGGCGCGGTGTTAGGAGCCAGCAGCAGCAGAAGTGCGGGTACCAGTGCATCAGCTGCTCTGGTGGTGCTGTGCTGCTGGTCAAGCCGGCTGCCTCAGCCAGACTAACACCAGTCTCGCCATGCCCCTCAACTTTATGGCTTGCCCGTGCCCAGCCTCACTGTGTCAGTTTGTGTGTATGTGTTAGTTACCATTTTGTGTGTGTGTGTGTATGTGTGTGTGTGTGTGTGTGTGTGTGTGTTTTACTTTTCCACTTTTCTGTGAACATAAACGTCCCAGTGTCCATCTAATACAATTTCTTCAGTTACTATTCCACGATGCTAAAGTTATCCAATCTTCTAATGGAGATCTAGCAATTTTAAATGTTTATTTTGCATAAGATTTTCGAATCCACAAAAAAAAATCACATAGCTTACTAAACTTTCTGGCAAATCTTTCTTATTTAATAAGTCAAAAACGTTATGGGATCAAGTCGAGAGCCCTGTGGCACCCCACTGCTTATCCTCCTCTATAAGAGTATTTGTCCTCTTATTGTTTGCATTATCCTCTCAAACAGAAAATCTCTCCTCACCATTATAATCTCTCTATTATTTCTCCTAAGTTGTAGTTTCAAAAACTTTCTTAAAATCTAGATAAATATATTTTACTCTTACATTTTTTCACTGAACCACTCCAGTAATTCTCAAAATTATATATCTGATATACAATACATTCAGTTGTGTACATAGTGAAGTTTTTAATAAATGCTACTGAAAAATAACAAAGAACGCACAATACCGTGACTGGAACGAAACACAAATAACCCGCACCATTTACAAATGGTCCAAGTCGGACCGAAACGTCGTCGCAAGCTCCTCTCTTCTATGAGCGGGTTATTTGCGTTTCTATTGAAAAAGATATATCCAAAACTGAACAGCACGTTAAAAAGTCTTTCAAAGTACGTTCTTTATAGATAAACGTTACGAGAAAGCTGACTGGACGTGAATTTACAAACATACACATAACAAGCTGTTTGCTAGTTAACGGGTTTTGCCTCTTGAGACACTTATGCAACATATGTTAATCTTTATTCAGGAAACGTTTCGCCACACAGTGGCTTCATCAGTCCAATACAAAGTAGAAAGACATAAGGAGAGGAGGAGTTTGAGGTAATCAGTCCCTCAGCCTGGAGTCGATGTGTTCAGTCCATCAATCTTGTAGAATGTACAGCATAGGGCCGTAGACGTGGCTTATATACTGTAGTCAGGTGAGGCGAAGCAGGAGGAGGCGGGGTCATCATGGGATCATGGGATCTTGTTACAAAAAATTCTTCAACACTTGTCCAACCTTTGGACGAAGACCTACTTCGACTAGTGGATGGTACCACTATGACCCCGCCTCCGCCTGCTTCACCTCACCTCACTACAGTATATAAGCCACGTCTACGGCCCTATGCTGTACATTCTACAAGATTGATGGACTGAACACATCGACTCCAGGCTGAGGGACTGATTACCTCAAACTCCTCCTCTCCTTATGTCTTTCTACTTTGTATTGGACTGATGAAGCCACTGTGTGGCGAAACGTTTCCTGAATAAAGATTCCCATATGTTGCATAAGTGTCTCAATCTTCAACTTGTCGGTTTTTCAAACCATTCATCACAGGTTTTGCCTCACAAAGTGTTTATCCAAATTTCTATATTTTTTTCCCAACATTTCGACAACAGAGAAACAGGCCATATCTTGTCTTCCATATCAACTGTGTGTGTGTGTGTGTGTGTGTGTGTGTGTGTGTGTGTGTGTGTGTGTGTGTGTGTGTGTGTGTGTGTGTGTGTGTGTGTGTGTGTGTGTGTGTGTTCGTTTTAACACGTGCGCCTACACATTGTGCCCACACACAGTAGTAACCGCTGCGGTTATTACAATATTCTCTATTTTTGGTATTCGCTTGCTACTCGAATTTATATTTTACAATGTCAACTATAAATACAATCTCATACTTTCTGTTTACTAGCTCACACGTTTCTTACTTCCCTTCACATATTCTTTTTGTCCTTGTCCTTGATTCTTTGAATTTTGTCCTTGATTCACTATATTCTTTCACATTTAGTTCGCTTGCTCTCGCCCATTTCTTTTTTTTTTCGAAACCTCTAGCTTCCTCCCTCATTAACATTCCTTTCTTACTGTATTATATTCAACCATTCTTTATTTCCCTTTTTCCCCCAGGAGTGCTAGAATATCTGATACACGAAAGGAGGCGCTGACCAGGGGAGTGGAAACTATCGAACTTAAGTTAAATGACTCTTACAGGAACCAGGAGAGGCAGGAGGAGCTTAAAGCTATTAGTGAAATTGAAAGAAATTCTAAATATTTATTTTCATATGCCAAAAACAAGGCAAATACCACATCTAGTATCGGGCCCTTACTCAGACATGATGGGACTTACACAGATGACAAGGAAATGAGTGAAATACTGAAATCCCAGTACGACTCTGTGTTTAGTGAGCCACTAATCAGTCTGAGGATCGACGACCCAAATGATTTCTTCATGAATGAGCCTCAAAACTCCATAAATGTATGCCAGATTTCCGACATTACCCTAACTCCGATAGACTTCGAAAAAGCCATTGACAACATGCCTATGCACTCATCCCCGGGCCCAGACCCATGGAACTCTGTATTCATTAAGAACTGCAAGAAACCCCTCTCGCGTGCCCTAAGTACACTATGGAGGAGGAGCTTGGACATGGGTGAAATTCCACAGTCACTTAAAACAACGGATATAGCCCAACTCCATAAAGGTGGCAGCAAAGCATTAGCTAAGAACTATAGACCAATAGCTCTGACGTCTCACATCATAAAAATCTTTGAAAGAGTGCTAAGAACCAGGATTGCAAATCACCTGGATTCCCAAAATCTGCACAATCCAGGGTAACATGGGTTCAGGGCAGGTCGCTCCTGCCTCTCACAACTACTGGATCATTAAGATATGGCCTTGAATGCACTGGAAGAAAATCAGAATGCAGATGTAATATATACAGACTTTGCAAAAGCGTTTGACAAATGCGACCATGGCGTAATAGCGCACAAAATACGTGCTAATGGAATAACTGGGAAAGTGGGGAGATGGATCTTCAACTTCCTAACAAATCGAACACAAAAAGTAGTGGTCAACAGAGTTAAATCGGAGGCTGCCATAGTGAAGAGCTCTGTTCCACAAGGCACAGTACTCGCCCCCATCTTATTCCTCATCCTCATATCAGACATAGAAGATATACACCACAGCACCGTATTATCCTTTGCGGATGATACTAGGATCTGCATGAGGCTGTCATCTGCTGAGGACGCGGTTAACCTCCAAGAAGATATAAACAAAGTTTTCCAGTGGGCAACGGAAAACAATATGATGTTCAATGAGGACAAATTCCAATTACTCCGTTATGGAAAACTGGAGGAGATAATAACTAGAACAGAGTATACTACAGACTCTGGCCATACAATAGAGCGGAAAATAATGTAAGGGACCTGGGAGTAGTAATGTCTGAGGATCTCACTTTCAAGGATCACAACAGTGCCACGATCACAAGTGCAAAGAAAATGATAGGATGGATAATGAGAACGTTCAAAACGAGAGATGCCAAGTCCAATGATGATCCTTTTCAAATCACTTGTTCTCTCTAGGCTGGAATACTGTTGTACATTAACATCTCCATTCCAAAGCAGGTGAAATTGCAGATCTAGAGAGTACAGAGATCCTTTACTGCACGTATAAGTTCTGTCAAGCACCTTAACTACTGGGAACGCTTGGAAGCACTTGACTTGTACTCGTTGGAACGCAGGAGAGAGAGATATATCATAATCTACACTTGGAAAATCCTGGAAGGAATGGTCCCGAATCTGCACACACAAATCACTCCCTACGAAAGTAAAAGACTGGGCAGGCGATGCAAAATACCCCCAATTAAACGTAGGGGCGCCATTGGTACACTTAGAGAAAACACCATAAGTGTCCGGGGCCCAAGACTGTTCAACAGCCTCCCATCAAGCATTAGGGGAATTACCAAAAAAACCCTGGCTGCTTTCAAGAGAGAGCTGGACAGATACCTAAAGTCAGTGCCGGATCAGCCGGGCTGTGGCTCGTACGTTGGATTGCATGCAGCCAGCAGTAACAGCCTGGTTGATCAGGCCCTGATCCACCGGGAGGCCTGGTCATGGACCGGGCTGCGGGGGCGTTGATCCCCGGAATAACCTCCAGGTATATGTTGCAATAATTATTATATATATATATATATATATATATATATATATATATAATATATATATATATATATAATATATATATATATATATAATCCAAATAAGTAAAACTGGTCAGCTAGCAAGAACTTTAAAATTAAGTCCTTTCTAAAATTTTCTCTAATACGTTCAAAGATATATATTGTTCATTTATGTTAAAGTAAAAATTAATATTTTTTTTTACCAAAAGAACCCTAGAAAACTTACCTAACATTATTATAACAAGCACAGCCTAATTTAGCCTAATCCAACTAAATGTATTTTACATAAGTTTACAATAATTTAATAAACACGTATTTTGTGCGCTATTACGCCATGATCACACTTGTCAAAGGCTTTTGCAAAGTCTGTATATATTACATCTGCATCCTGTTTTTCTTCCAGTGCATCCAAGACCATATCATAGTGATCCAGTAGTTCCGAGAGGCAGGAGCGACCTGCTCTGAACCCATGTTGCCCTGGATTGTGCAGATTTTGGGAATCTGAGTGGTTTGCAATTGCGATTCTTAGCACACTTTCAAAGATTTTTATGATTTTTGTGATTTTTATGATGTTCTTAGCTAATGCTTTGCTGCCACTTTTGTGGAGTGGGGCTATATTCGTTGTTTTTAGTAACTGGAATTTCACCAAAGTCTAAGATCCTTCTCCAGAGTATACTTCGGGCACACGAAAGGGGCTTCTTGCAGTTTTAATGAACAAAGAGTTCTGTAAGCCTAAGCCTGGGCCTGATTGCATAGGCTTGTTGTCAATGGCTTCCTCAAAGTCTATCAGAGTTAGGGTAATGTCGGAAATCTGGGATACACTGATAGAGTTTTGAGGCTCATTCATGAAAAAATCATT